ACAAGGAAAAAACTAAAAACTCTCATTAACATAATAAGCATCATTATAGAAATTTAAAGCAGCGTGAAATGCAGCTCTCCACATTGAGGCAGCCGGTTGACCTCAATGAAAATAATTTCGCCTTTTTCTCTCTCGAGAGTTTTGCCAACTTGCATTTCACACATACACACGTATTTCTACACATGTGTGTGCCTGTTGAAAAAGAGCTGTTGACATTTCACGCTTTTAATTAAAAAGTGTGCTGGTAAAGGAAGGAGGAAGGAGTACAAGAACAACAAACAAACAAATAACAATTTCGTGCTAAATGCAGCTTAGAAAATGTTCCATAAATTTGCAAAATGTTTTTAATTGAAATCATTTGGCGCTGTTGATGACATGATTTACCTTAATTAAATATGTATATATGTATACATACATATATATGTATATGTATATGTATATATGTATGTACATCTGACCTCAGGCGTCAACATTTTACCAAAAAAAAATCTGCTTATGACAGCCAAACCAATTTGTCAGACTCCAGCTAAATGGGCCATGTGGAGTTTGGCTTGCTCTAGAGAGCCAACTCTCTCAGCCTTTGCCAAAAATAAATAAAAGGCTACAGCACACATACATACACATACGCAAATTAAGTCATGTGCAGAAATACTTGATTACAACAAGCCAAAAAAAAGTTGACAAAATGGCTTAGTTGAAGGCAAAGGCTTAGCACTTTCTAAGCAAGCCAAAAGCATATCTAGAGACTTTTTAAGTACATTTATATTTATACATATGTATGTCGAATCTTTTGCCTAAAAATATACTCTTTATTTAAATTTCAATAATGTTTTAGAATTAAATATTTAACAAACCTTTAATTGAATTTTTGATTTCCTTTACTTTTTTGCAGCTGTAATTCCAGAGTATGTTCATGTTATATCTATGTTAACTTTATCACAACATTTTTCATCCAATTACACATTTCCCTACTCTTCTACTCTAAATGCACCAACACAGAGCCAATTAGCTTAAAAGCAACATAAATCTGGCTCAAAGTTATGAAACAATTGCCAAATGCAAAAATTCCAGAAAACTTTTTAAATAAATATCAATTTAATTTTAAAATAATTTTTAAGTAATTTTTTAACATCAGCGCAAATGTATTTACATTACTTTTTTATAGCGCTGCACTGCATGAAAATGAGTTTTTCCATAAAATAAATTACAAAATTAAAATGAAAAGGAAGAAAAAAATGAAAATATTTTTCATTGTCAGCAAAAAATCTTCAGCATATTGCAATAATTATTCCTTAGCAAAAAGTTGCCAAAGGCTGCGCAGACAAAGGAGAACTAAGTGTGAAAAATA